GAAACTACTTTTTTCTATTAAAATTTTCAATGAACTCAATAAATACAATGATGTGAAAAAATACAATGATGTGAACATCAATTTCTTCTGGAAGCAATCAAATTTAAAATCATACAATCAAAACAAAAAAAAAAATTACTGAAATTTTCTCTATTCTATGTTTATATGTGCATGTGTGTATAAGTATGCCAAAGATTACTATATTAAGTTGTACAAATACAATATTAAGTGCGGGGAAGTTGAAAAAAGGAGCATGTAAACGTACTTTTATGACACATTTTTTTATAAAAAAGTGAATGGTGATGATTATATTTTATAATATAGTTTCCTTCCTTAGAAATATTTAGTTTGAAATTTTTAGAAAAGAAATTTTCAATTTTATTTTTAGATCGTGACATCGTTGTACGCATAGCTACCATTATTTTTCCAAAACATTATTCTTGTTGAAATTACAATTTGCTAAACCTACCTACCTACCTACATTTCTATTTACCTACCTATACGAGCATCCACCTACATTTTTATTTTCACTGTTTTGATGCCTTTATGCTCCACTACATATTTTATTTTTTTTATTTCATAATTTTGCCTCATAACTTGTAAAAATAAAATGAAAATCTACAACAGTGTTAAAAATGTTGATTGTTTTCATTCGTAAAATCGTATTTTAAATTATTGATATTGTTGTTGCTTTTGTAGACTTGTAAACATTTTTTTTTTAAATTATTTTATACATCGTCCTTTTTGCATGCTGTGGTATCAGAGTTAACGTCCCATTACCTTTTATTTGACAGCTGAAATAAAAGGATAAAAATAAAATTAAATTAGAATATTAAGAAAAAACGAGAAAAAAAATAGAGTTGACCTTGTCAACTCTGTGATACCCGTACGAATTTGTTATCCTATGTGCAAATAAAGATGCCATAACTGACTAAGGGACACATTAATTTATGCAAAATTTCAATACTGTCTGTTTTTCAAAATACTGTGTGTGCCAAACTACTATTTAAGTTGTATGGCAGGTACCAGAAAAAGCTAAGAAATTTTAACAAATTTTATCAAAAACATTGGCCCTACTAGTGTATTCGTTTGTGTGAAATTTCAATACCATAGCTTATATAGTTTTTGAGATATAGCCAAATAACTTTTGAAGTTGTATGGCAGGTACCAGAAGGAGCCAAGTAATTTCAACGACTTTCATGAAACACATTGGCCCTACTAATATATTCATTTGTGTGAAATTTCAATACCACAGCTTTTACAGTTTCTGAGATATAGCCAAATAACTTTTGAAGTTGTATGGCAGGTACCAGAAGGAGCCAAGTAATTTCAACGACTTTTATCATACACATTGGCCCTACTAATATATTCGTTTGTGTGAAATTTCAATACCACAACTTTTATAGTTTCTGAGATATAGCCAAATAAATTTTGAAGTTGTATGGCAGCTACCCGAACCGGTACCCCGATCATGTCCAATTTAAATAGGGTTCTGGCACTTACTACAATAAATCATTTGTGAAAATTTGGTGAACTTAGCTCAATTAGTTTTTGAGTTATCGTTCGGACGGACGGACGGACGGACAGACAAAGCTAAATCAACTCAGAATTTGACGCTGATCAAAAACATACACTTGAGTCTATATCTAAGACCGTTATTTCTTAGCGTTACAAACGGTAAGGCAAATTTAGTATAACGAACATACCCTTCGAACATACGTTCGTACGGGTATAAAAACTTATTTATGTATATGCAATAAAAGTAATGACTTAAGGCGATGTAAACAAAAGGACAAAAATGTTGTGATCAAAAAATCAATCAGAAATGGAATAAAATTATATCTGTTGCTGGTATCTACGGGAAAATGAGGAAATGAATATAGGAGAATCCGTTTAGGAAAAGAATAAATTTTTACAAGTATAATAATAATTTCCATATCTTTTATTAAATTTTTCTATTAATATTCATATGGGTTGATTCTTTTGTTACCAACATTTATTAAAAGTTTATTGTAACATTATAATAAAGCTGGATTAAAACAGTCGTTTGCAATGTAACACTTTTTCATTCAGCAAGTGAAAATACTGTTTTTTAGAAATAATCTGTGTACTACATTACCATTAAAAAATATTTCAAAGATTGCATATATTCAGGATGCACAAAAAAAAACATTGAAAGAAGCATTGATATTTATGAATTTTACTAATACAATATCATAGTTGCGAAATTAATAAGAATGTGCTTATTACACTAATCATTTAACTTAATGGCAATTTCTTCATGCAACTGCAGAACAGATGGATGACGTAATCAAAGGAACGAGTTAAAGGCAGAAAAATTAATTAAAAAATTTTTCTCCTCGAACTGGACTCGAACCAGTGACCTACCGTTTTCTAGGCGAACGCTCATAATTTAATTAGTTCAATAGGCACAATCCTATAAATATATGTATATGTTCTTGTTATTGTGTGTTTCAAAAATTCGAAAAAATAAAGTTGTTGAGAATTCACAACAATTTTTATAAATTTCTTTAAAACCAGTCGTACATAGGCATTACAGAGTTGATACGGTCAACTTTATATATTTGAAATTTTTTTGCCTTATAAAATTTAATAATAATACAAGCTATTTGCATAGCCGGTAAAATTAAAAATTTATTAATTTGTATTTCATTAGTATAGATTGCAGTGATCGCATACTTAAATTTCTCACTCAAACATAATTTCGTGAATGCTTCCAAAAAGAATCAAAGTCCATCTCGTTGTTTAGTTTATTTAATATCGTCTATTTCCTTTTCTATTTTCTTTCTTATTCTGAAGTGTATTGAGTTTGCATATAAGAAACGAACTCATATACGATAAAAGTATTCTATTTCGTTATATTTAAAATGTTACAAAAATTAGAGTTATTCCGTGGAATTTATAAAAAAAAACTTAAATGAGTACCACAATTTGAAAACAAGTTTAAGATCACTGTATGCAGTTTAGGAAAACTCTGTAATTTTTAAAATATTTCGAAAAGCTGTTTTTAATAAGTGCCCAAAATTACATAAAATAAATATAACATTTACAAAGTATGACAATAATTATGATTGGAGTAACATAAAGGACAAACTTGAAATAATTTAACCTTTCTACAAAATCTAGATAATTAATATATTTAAGTTCCACAAAAATCTCCAATTTATAAAGTAAAGTTTATTTTTATTCTGATTATTGAAACGCTATAAAAAATATTTAAATAATTTAAAATCACGCCAAAAATGAAATAATTAAAATACAATAAAAATTATACACACTTACCCGGTTTTAACTTAAAATCATCACATTTTTTTTAGAAATTAATTTTAATCTTTAAACTTGATTTGCTCGGGACTGTTTAATATTAATTTTGAAATTTTTTCATTAAGATCTAATTTCAGAAATTATGTAACGCTTAAAATGTCGATTCAAATTGATATTAAGCTCTAATATTTATCATTTATATTTTTTTTTTTTAATTAATAATTTTTTTTCCATATACAAAACCATTTGAATTTTTATGGAAAAGTAAGGGATTTGCTTTAATGGTATATATTTTAATGTTGAAAATATTCATATAGTGCTTCAAGCTATTTTTCGAGTTCTATAAAATTTTCACAAAAAAATATTGCTGATGATGCTGCCTTTGATAATTCCTGCCAACTCAATTTTGATATTATTACTTAATGATGCTTGTATGCAATTTAATATTAATTAAATTAATAAATAAATAAATTACGTAATTATTATATTTTAAGAATTTTTAGAACAAATGGGGCATGCCTTATAAATCTGCTTAAGAGAAACTTTGATTGTTCTAAGATTAAGTTGAATACATTTTCTATTGAATATTATGGCAATGGTTTTAAATTCGCATTATAAGGTACATTATCACAAAAGTATTATTTTCGTGATGCTCATCCGTAGGCGTATAGAAAATATCAATACCCTATTATAATTGTTAATACCTACGTGGAGCAAATGAAAACTCAGCATAATACAAAATAATGTATGCCTCACATACATCTATGGCTAATATAGCAAATGAGAATTAACTATGTAAAATCGAATTTTCTTATACAAAAATTGACCCATACACTAAAAATTGCCGTATGCAGCAAAGGAGAACTTAAAAAATAAAAAAAAAGGTGCATATGGAACGAAGTGTCCGCTGATTTTGCTAGAAACTAAAAAATGCAAAAACGGCAAATAGACTAACAAGGAAATCAAGCGACGAGTTCTTGCTTTACACTTTTGATGAGAAATGCTTTACTGATCATCTTTTTTTTATAAAATAATTGTACTTCTTGTCTAACTCTTTGAGTTTATTTATAGGGAAGTTCTAGTTAAATTAAGTGCAGAAGTATATGAGCTATAAATCTTTGTTGAAAGTATAGAACTACTGATATTTTATGTAACAAAATTTTATCATATTATTCTTTTGTATCGCCTCGATTAGAATTGCAAGGAATATAATTGAGAATATAATTGACGAAATTAAAATAGTGGAAGATAAGATATTTAAAAGGTATATACGCTTCCCTTTTAAAGGCTTATTATCGGTCAACTTTAATTTGTACTAATAAATGAAATAATAAATTTTCGATATATTTTCGAAATAATAAATTTTCGATAGTCCTGAGTTCAAGGTGCCTAAAATCAAGAAATTTTAAATTTGTTTGAAAAAAACAATAAGTATTCTTGGAATGTAGCGATAAGGAACCTTTGTGAATATTTCTCTCATTTGTTCTGCATTAATAAAATTTTCCTTAGTATTAATTGTTACTTAAAACTCACTACCTTCTAATAACTGTTATCCTGATACTGATATTTTGATATTATAGCTCAAAAACAAAAACCTCATTTTAATTTTAATTGGAATATCAAATAAATTTCATTCCCAACTTGTGAAAAAATTATATAGTTATAATTAAGGATAAACTGATATTAATATTATTTTTTTTATTTTTTTTTTATAGATCCATAATGACCGACGATGATCATTTGTATTTAAATGGACTAACAACGGCTTGGATCGATGATGGTTTCATGAATTTAACAATTACATCGAATTTTTCAAAATTAGATAATTATTATGAAAATAATGTTACAACACATGTGAACAGTATTATTAGCATAAGTAATAGTGATAATATAATAAATGTTAGTAGTTTAAGTAATATTAGTAATAATATTATTGAATTTCCATCACCAACAATAATCGATTCAAAGGGTCTAGTCGTTAATATATTTATGACAATTATTTATTCTACAATATTATTAAGTGGTATTATTGGTAATATTATAACATGTATTGTTATAAAAAGGCATCGATCTATGCATACAGCAACAAATTATTATTTATTTAGTTTAGCAATATCAGATTTTTTATTATTAATTAGTGGTGCACCACATGATTTATATTATGTATGGTTTAAAGATCCATATGAATTTGGTGAAGTATTTTGTGTGACAAGAGGTCTATTAGCTGAAACAGCAGCAAATGCAACAGTATTAACAATAACTGCATTTACAGTTGAAAGATATGTTGCAATATGTCATCCATTTTTATCACATTCATTAAGTAAATTAAATCGTGTTACAAAAGTTATTTTATTAATATGGTTAACATCATTATTAACGGCAGCACCATTAGCATTACAATTTGGTGTTATTATTGTATATGGTGTTGAAATGTGTGTTATTAAACGAATATGGATTGAACATGCATTTGCAATTTCGACAATATTATTCTTTTTTTTTCCAATGTCAATTATTTTTGTACTTTATTTATTAATTGGATTAAAATTACATCAAACAAATTTAAAAAGAACTAGAAATGGGCATATATTATGTCGAGTAAATACAAATATGACCATTAAAATACAAAATCAACAGGGTAGAAAACGTGTTATAAAAATGCTGGGTAAGTATATGTATACTTTTATGTATTTATAGATTTTATTAATATTTAAGAAAAAACAAACTCTTAAAATTAATTTTTTGTTGTCAATAAAAAAAAATAAAAGAAAATTCATTAAATTATTAGATTATTCATAAAAAAAATTATTGCCTAATGATTATATCGGGATAACATTTATTTCCATATCAGTTTACATCATCAGACATCTTTAGTTTGTTGGGACATAACTAAATAATAAACAGTTTGTTTACGTACCACAAACTGTGGCATTTATTTAAGATATTTGATGATTTCCAAGTGAGCTTTTTTTTTATCCATTGTCTCCTTAAAGTATAGACGGTATTAAAACGTAATAAATTTGAGACGTAATTTTCATAAATTCTATAATTTTTCATTAAATTTATTGTGAAGTATTTAAGTAATCAATCCGAAATTGTAAAATAATTATATAAACAGAATTTGAACGAAATATATACATACTTATATATCATACATATTAATTTTTATGTTCAATATTAACTTGAATATGGAATACAGGATGTTTTACTCTCGTTTAATAAATAACACTTACCATAGGCATAGGATATATGTATTTGAATTTTAAATAGTGTAATAGTGTAATGATTCAATGTAAGTTGGCAATTTCACCACGTTTTTGAAATAAATTTTTATCTTAGCAACTTTGCAAATTTAGTAATGGAATAAAATAAGTATAGCTGTACAATTCTTAGGAATTGAATAAAATTCAATTTTAATATTAAATTATTTCAATTTTTAAATTGAAACCAAATCCTATACTACCAATATACTTAAGGAATGTATTTAAATTTAAGCCTGTTTAAGAGATACTTTCACTTTAAACATAGATTTTTTATTCAAAATTTCAGATATGATCAAGTTCAGATAAAATTCTAATATAATTTTAAATTAATAAAAATTAGTTGCTTTATAGAGTGTTTTTATTTATAATTATTATATAATAGCATTCATTTAAAGTGAATTACGGTATAAATTATTAAATTCCATTATGAATTTTGTGTCCCATTTCCTAAGAGAAGCTGGTGTAAAAAAAATGTTTATACAAAACTGCGAAATATTCTTACAGAGGATTTTTAAAGTTAATAAAATGTGTACTTCAATATTTCAAAGAATAAAGTACAATAAATTTAACCCTCTTCTGCTCAACTATATTTTAATTCTTTATAGTTAATACCTAAATTAAGCTAAATTTAAACCTTTATTCTTTTACGAATCTAGATAAAAATATAATTGCTCAATATTTTGAAGCTAATAGATACCCAATATAAGAAATTAATTGTTATTTACATAAGATCTACTTTCATAGTTAAAACGAACACAAATTAAAACAATACGAGATTTTGAATTGCTACACTGTTCAATTCAACTGATCGACACATGTGGTGAAAAATAAGATTTTACAAAAAACAGAAATTGTTTAATTATTAATTTGGTAAATAAAAAATTGATTTTTCATCAAATAAATATTGAAAATAGATTATAAGTATAAGCACAATAGAGAACGTTCGAAAGTTTCCTAACTCATTGTAAATATTGCGATCATAGCTCTGTCGAATGTATGACCGGGTCTGTTTCTTATCCCTTTTTTCTAATTCTTATTCAACTTGGTAATGTTTCTATTTTTATAAATTTTTATTTAATTGGAATTTTGCTTTTTAAATCAAGGTGATTTAACACTACATAGCATTTTGCTATTTATTTCTCGTTATACCTGGTTAAACACATTTAACATTTACCAAAGATTTAATTTTCCAAGAATTGAAGGCGCCCCTCATCTATTCATGGTAAACAAAATTAATTAAATTATGATAAGAAAATTTTTGGTACATAAAAAATCATTAATTTATTGAAGTTTTTACTTTAGAAATTCGAATACTTTATCGTGTAAAGTTTTTTCTTTAAAAAAAAAATCTAAGTAATGTAAGTAAAATAATAAAATATCAATGAAGATTTTTGATAAAAGTGTCTACCATTTTGTTTAAAAAGAATTGATGGGAAGAAGAGAAGAGATAAAGAACATAAAAATTGTGTGAAAAATCGGTAAAAGAAAAAAATAAGAAATTTTCAGAAATAATTAAGATAAAGAAAGGTAGCAGGTCACAATATAAAAAACTTTTCAATTTACTTACGAATTTTGATTGAACTGTTTGCAATTGTTAAGAAATTTCATAAGTTCTAAAACAAATTCACTGTTGTACATTCTAAATTTCTGTTTAAAATGTATTCACCAATTTAATTTTTACTAATTTTTCATCAATTGATTAACAAAAATTCCTCATATATTAAAAACGCGTTCTTAAAGAACCCGACAAAAATTCACTTTAATTAAAATCTACCCACTTAATTTAAATTTTGCTTACGTTTTTAAATATTAGGTATCTATCGTTTATTAAGCTCATAAAAATTTTTAATATGAAAATATTGAAAATAAAAAATTTTCGCCCAAATTTATGCAATATGTAGAAGAAAAAAATCTCATTTTGTAAGAACAAAATGTCCATAGCTCTAGATGATAATATAGAAATTTTTTTGAACTTTGATATTCTTTAAGTAATGAAATTTAATTGAATTTATGTAATTGAAATTTTTGAAAGGAAAAATCAACAAGTTTCAAAAAGTTCATTGTGTTTTGGTTGGTTTTTTTTTTTTCTCGGTTTTTTGCCTAATTAAAAATCCACCTTCTAAATAAAAATTTTGTGCCTTCAAGTGTATGTTCTTTACATGTTTATATTATGTAAATTTGTTTTGATGTTCTTATTAGCATATTAATTAATATTTGAAATTAAGTATAGAAAACAACGAATTTCCTTCAACAACAAAAAAAAATGGAAAAGAATAAATTCATTTAGAAATTTTTGGCTAAATAGAATTGGGAGGGCATATGCAGCGTGTTTTTATAAGCAAACGAGTTATGTAAACCTAAATGAAAACATGGAAAATTTACAAAATGTGTTTAAAACTCCAATGAAAAGTGGTAGGAAGTAATCATTATAATTTGTTATGTGATACTAGCCTTTACACAACAATCGATTCATTATAAAATCACGTAAAGAAAATTTTGTACCTATATATGTAGGATTTGTAAAATTTTTTCGTAAAATTTCTGTAAATTAGAGAAAATAATAGTAAATAAGTAAATTAAATTACTCTAATAAATTAGAGTAATATTTAAACAATTTTTAAAATGTACTGCAAAAAACGATCTTTTTAATTATTGAGTATTTTCAGATTTTGAAAAACGATGTTAACCAATGGTGTATTTTAACAATTAGTCCTCTGGGTTAGGTTAGGTTAGATGTACAGGCCTTTTAGGCCATCGGATAAGAGGCATAATTAAAGGGAGATTGTGCTATTAACGCCAGATTTCTCCCTTTAATTATGCCTCTAAGTCATAATAGAACTCCCGTGAACGAATAAAATCAATTCCGCAGAGTTGATTTTTTGTAGAGTAAATTTTTTTTCTATTGTCGAGTAGCTTTGGAATGAATAATATCATTTTCAATTACAGCATTAAATGTAATTTAAAATGTACCAAACTGCAGAACTCCTCTGTTATATCACTTATTACTTAGACCATTAAAAAAAATTATTTTATAATCTATTATGTTTGATTTAAATTTATAAATTTTAAACCAATTTTTTATGTGTTTGAGAAAAAAAAATTGTACATGCGGAAACTCTAACAAAATTTACGAATTTACATAATAAAAAGAAAATTATCAAACTTTAAGAATTCATTATTGACAAACTTTTGTTATAAATGTTAACAAAATAAGTTGATTAACTGGCTAAGAATTTTTTACAAAGAGCAACACCATGTAAAAAATATAAAATTAAATTAAGGTAAAATTGAAATATTTTTTTACCTGAAAAGAAATACTTCCGTCCGTAGCGAATTTTTGTCTTTTTAAGAGAAAATTTTTAAATTTAAAAATTTTTTGACCAAACGATAAAAAGTCCTTGATGATAATGGGATAAGATAAGAATTAAAATTATTTAAAAAAAATTTCTCATTTAAATTATTATAAGTATTTACGCGCCTTCTTCACTTTCCTATATAAACTTTGGGTATATATTATAGTAGGTAAGCAAATGGAATATTGCATCATATTACTTTTTTTATCGTAACCAGAAACGAGGACTTTGAATCGCAATGGAAAAGAATTTTTACAATAAATTTGCGTTAATGATTTTTCGCTGAATGAAAAATCTACCATAATTTTTTATTTATGGGGCAATTATTCGTTACTAAAACCCTATAAAAACTTAATGACGTTTGAATGGTTTTATATTTTCTATTATGATTTTAAATATGATAACTATTAAAAATATTTTAAGATTTCTGTTCGTTATAACAAGAAGTATTAAAATTACGGAGTAAAATGGTTGTAGAAATTGAATTTTTCGAAAAATTTTTTTCAGTTTTCAAGAAAAATATTGAATAATGCATTATAAATTGTAATATAAAAAAGGTTCTTGATTTTGAACTCTTTAACAGCAAAAATATTAAATCCAGTAAGTAATTTTGTTATTTTTTTAACTAAATTTGAATAAGATAATGAGAGAAAAAATTGAGTTTGTTTGAATAAAATATTTATTTTGCTTTTATAGCCGAAGGTATAAAATTGATTTTTTGATTAAAGTGTATTTAGTTTTAAAAAAAAAAAATTTAAACAAATTTCTATTCGGCAATAAAATTTTTACGAGATAAAATATAAAAATTTTCTATCATATTGATGAAAGTTACCTGAATAAAGAAAGAAACCATGTACAAATAATCCAATGTAGTCTGGTGAACCACTTAAGTGAGAATTATTTTGGAGAAAATTTGGTATTGGAAATTGATGTAATCAAATTTAGTTTTTTAAGATGAAAGGGTTAAAAAAATTTATAAGATGTTGCAAATTGTTAAATTCAATTATTTTGTTCCTAAAACGTAAAAAGCACAATGAAATGCACGAAATTAGTGAAAATGTTTGGTATAATGGGTAAGAGTTTTCTTATAATGAAAATCATTACTCGTAAGAACTTTGACTTTTCGCCGACTCCGAGTTTTCGGTGGGAACGCATTTCTCCATGGTAGGGAAGCGTAAAAGTAACTATTTTCATTAGTATATCGGTCTGTCAGACATACCCGGCACGCGTGTATCTCAAGTTCACCAACCAATTTCCAATAACTAACCAATTTCTTTGGAGAAATAACCAACCAATTTCTTTGACATTTAATATTTAAATTCCCGGTATTAAGGCAATAAATCTATAATTTTTTTTGGAAATTTTAGGAATTGGAAACCGGACTAAGGGCTGATTTTACATTTTGTATCATATCTAGGAACTAGTTAATGGAATTTCGTGAAATTTCGTATTGAGTTCTGATTATTACCAAAACTAACTGAAGAATTTTCCAGGGTATCCATATGGTATAAAGCGAAATTCTACTAAGAGGCAAATTTACGTTTTTCTAAATATGCTTACTAAAAGCTTACGATTTTAAAATCAACTTTGTTATGCTATAAAAAGTCCGAGAAATTACCAATTTAAGCAATTATTTAAAGAATATGATTTTCACCACTTGCTTCTAATATATTAAGAGTAAATAAAGATGTTGAAAACAGAAATATAAAATTGCGTTATACACGAATTTTTTAATATATTATCGTTGAATTAAATTTTTAAAAATAAATAAAAAAATTTATAGAAATTTTTCATGTAGAAAATCGTCCGTTATTAAACTGTGCTCACTTCTTCAATTTTAAATTTTATACTTTCTTATATTGCCGACATGGAAAACTCTTGACTTTAAAATTTTATGTGCAAATGCATTATTGAAAAATGTTCAAAATTTTCTCGATCCTTTTATAATGATAAAAATTATTTCAATTCTTTGCTACTTTTCAGTTATTCGTAATTTGCTATTTAACAAAAAAGTTTTGATTAGACGATCAAATAAAAACAAAGACGGTTTTAAATCAAATTTGTGCAGAAAATTCAAACATTAAAATTATTCATGGATTTTATTTTTATGATAAATTAATAGAGTTTTATATTTTGCCAAGAAAAACAAGAAGATTAGGTTGAAAAATTTGTAAAATTGTAAATACTAGTAAAATAATTCACCCCAAAATTTTGAGCCAAAGGTGTAAATGAATGCACAAAATTGGTTTAAATATTAGAGGAAAATCATTTTGCTTCACACAGAATTTCAGATTATTTGAATTAATTTCGTTTCCCCAATTTGGAAGGTAATGAAAAAGAACCAAAAAACTCATGTTTTTGATTAGGGGTCATCACCAATTTGATTCTATAATTTAGCGAATTTTATGGCTCGAAAGTTCTTTGAAACTCATATAATACTGAACTATTTTTTTTTTTTAATATTCTTGTCAGACAAATTAAAGCAATTTTGTCCAATTTAATATCAATCCTCTTGGGACTAATTTAAAGCGTTGTAAAAGTCGTCAATAAAAATGGAATTTTTATATCCTCGTAAGACCTTGAAATTATATTTTTAAATCTTTTGTGTTCAGCATCTTTAAATCTTTTGACACATAAAAACATTATATGTATGTACAAGTGTATAAAAGTGAATCACACATAAAATAAAACAGTATACTACAAAACGAGTTCGCCTATAATTATAAATTGAGAGCAAGATGCAATAAACTGTTCTATTTCATGCCAACACCATTTATTGTTGTAAGTCATTAAGTTCCTTTTTGTTTATATTATGTACTTGTATCTTTATATAGATATATAGATATTTTAAGAGCATTGTCCTTTTATATAACACATAAACAAACATACTATCGTGTTTTTAGGTAATAAAATTGAAAATCATAGTATGTCGTAGTGGCATTTATTTTTCTAAGAAATAAATTTAAGTACCTTCTGTGAAAAAATTCTAAATTTCTTTAAATATTTTATGACTTAATTTTGTTTACTCTCAAAAAATTTTATAGAATTTAAGGTGTTATTTTACACTCTCTTACAAGTATTTTTAAAAATTTTTTTCTCTTTCCACCCTCTGAAATTAAATGAACCATTAAGGTACAGAAAATTTAAATATTTTCATTGTTAATGAACTATTTTAAGTATAGATATTATAAAAAATTTTAGAAGGTAATAAGCTCCTCGGGGAAATTAGTGTTTATAATATGGACATTATAGACTTTGTTACCTAAATTGGGTATAGCTCTGCATAATATGCCTGAAAAAACTCTGTCTAATAAAAAACAAATCTATTCTTTATTGTAAAATTCAAATTCAAAGATTTTCAATTGTTGTGCTTGAGTTGGATCTTTCATATGAAACTATAATGCTATGTACCAATATTATATTGTAACTCAGAGATCTAGGTCTAGATTTCAATACAATGACCCAATTTTTTTAAATTTTAAAATTAGTTCCCTTAAGTTTAAAATGTTAGTTTGTACCAAAAATCTCGTTATAAATTTATGTAAAAAAACATTAAATTTTTGTATCTCTTTATGTTTGTTTAGATGTCTTTTGTTTATCACCCGTAGTCTAAACTATTGTTAATCACTGATTTGAACTTGCTGGTTCAAAATTTTTTAAATATGTCCAAAACTAGTTGATTTTGCCTTTAATACTATACCTAACTAATGTTATTCTACTACTCTCTCTGAATCCCCAAAAAAATAAGTTATTTGATTAAATGTAATTTTCTTATAGTATTTATGACAAGGTGTGCAAATTTACTTTGCAAAATTTCATGCACTTTTAATAATAAAATTTTATACAGTTGCATATGCTTAGGCGCAAATAATATAAAATATTTCAACAAAAATTGTAATCGACGTGCAGAATTAGGCTAAAATTTTAGTTAAATTTAATTGTTTCGTTTTAATATAGTAATTTTTTATTATGCCATACTTTTTAAAACAATTCATTGATTTTTAGAAAGTTTACAATTTTTACCGACCGTATTGTGTAAACAATAGGTAGGTTATGTGATGGCAACAAATTTTGCATATCGAGTTTTCGGTGGGAACGTACTTCTCCATAGTAGGGAAGTGTAAATAAACTATTTTTAGCAACCTGTCGGTCTGTCGGTCTGTCGGTCTGTCGGTCTGTGTGTGCACGCGTGTATCTCAAGTTCGGCTGAACCGATTTTGATGAAATTTTATATGTAAGTTTGTTTCCACCATGGCACGGATCGATCAACTTTTGGTATATATCAGGCCTCGGGAACTGCACTTTTTAGCGGGCCTGTTTTAGATTTTTGAACATTTTGAAGAAAATATTCAACCGATTTACTTGAAATTTTATATATAAGCTCAGCTCGACCGTCCGCAAAAATTCATATGTTTTGGAAGAAATCAGGCATTGGCAACTAGACGTTTACTACGGGCCAAATATACATTTTTGTGTATATAAAGAGAAATAATCAACCGATTTCATTGAAATTTAATATATGAACTCCTCGTATTAAAACAATGAACATGTAAATTTTTTGGAAAGATCAGGCATCGGCAACTAGACGTTTACTACGGGCCAAACATACACTTTTGTGTATATAAAAAGAAATAATCAACCGATTTCATTGAAATTTAATATATGAATTCCTCATATTAAAGCAATGAACATATAACTTTTTTGGAAAGATCAGGGTTCGAGAACTGATTTGCGGGCCGATTTTACATTTTTCACCATATCCACAGAACAAATTGATGGAATTTCTTGAAATTTCATATTTGAGTTCTGCTTGTTACCGAAACTAACTGGCGAGCATTTCAGGGAATTCGGGTAGCACAAAGCGAAACTCTACTAAGAGCCAAATTTACATTTTTCTAAGTATGTTAACTATAAGCTTACTAATGTCCTAAAAATTGGAAAGAAGTATTTAACAGACATTTTTATAATATTCTGTAACACTTTCATTTAACTAGACAATACACAATGCGGTCGGTTATGTGCTGACCACATCAGATTTTTTTTAATAATGTTCACACATTTTTCGTTTTATTTTTATTCCAGTTGCTGTTGTTATAGCATTCTTTCTCTGTTGGGCTCCGTTTCATGCTCAACGTTTGTTTACTATGTACGTAGAGGTTTCTGGTTTACAAACAAATTTTTTTATTCATATATATGAGATAATCACATATATATCAGGTGTGATGTATTATTTATCAACGTGCATTAATCCTTTCTTATACAATATTATGAGTCATAAATTTCGTGAAGCTTTTAGAGTAAGTATAAAATTTTTAAAAGGAATTTTTGTTTTCTGTTTTTAAATGACATAAAATTAAAAAATAATATTATTTAAAGAATATTTTTAATACTATTACAGACAGTTTTATTTAGACAACGTTCGAATAGTTCTTCGCATCCTGGTAGACAACCCTCAACTCCTAATAGAAAAACAACTTTATATAGTAAAAATAGCAGTGATTTTGATTATAATGGTGAAAATAAAATGATTTTACAGGTAACTTTATTTATTTTGTTATATTTGCTTAGAAATATATTTTATTAAAATATTTTTTTGGACCTATTAGAATTTATCACCTGAAATTTATTCGTGTTCTAGTAAAGTCTTTACAATAATAATTATCGTTTATTTCCACAACTGCCTTTTAACAACATAAACACCATGCCGCCCTCAGAACAATTCCCATCTCAATATTCTTAAGTTCCCTTTTACCCATAATGCTTTAATAATTTGATTTAAAATATAGGGATATGTCCCGAATGTCTTTATTTGAAAAAAAAACAAAGATGTTGAAAAGTATACCATTTCTTCTACTTCTACTGGGCCTAACTTTCAAAATAACCTTTTTGGTTTGAAGTAAATATGAACCTCACATAACACTGAATTTTAAGCCCTACTTGTTTAATATTTAATCCGGTTATAATTTGTTTGAGTCATTCAATATACTTTTATATTATAATAAATTGGCATAGTTTGCTATTGCACAGTTTCAAACATCAAAAGGAAATCTGTATATACAATGCAATCAAGAGGAAATTTAAAATTTCTTGCAAAAAATTCTTTCCTTTTCCAAATCCAGTAGGTTCAAGTAAAACTCTATTATTGTTTCCGAATTTTCTTTAATGGCTTTAAAATAAAGAATAATATTTACTCTCAAATAATTTTGTACAAAACAGAAAACCTTAAACTAAATACAGACAATAAGAAAACAATGAATATTTGTGCATGAGTGTATTTGAAAACAGGATTTTTTCCTGTGCCAAAAACATTCTTCTTTTCAACATTTCATTAGAATTAAAAATACTTGACTAATAATATATGTTTATTAATTATTGTTTTTAACCCGAAAATAATTAAGAAAAGGTTAAGGATTAAGTTTTCTAAAATTAACGCAAACTTGATAATTACCTACCTTATACCTAAGTATTTTAAATTAATACAAAAGGAATTATCAAAAAAGAAATTCTTTATCTTTTTTTTTTTCAAATTTTCTCAATATTCATTGTCCTTTTGTATTTTAGGAAACAAGGATGAAAACATTTTATATTAATCATTTTAATTGCTAAAACAATGATTAAATGGGAAACAAATTTTTATAAAAATTTTACAATAATAAAGTTGTGTTGATTAATATCTCTGCACTCGCTCAAAATAAGGACCTTAACATCAATAAAACAAAAAGACATGAAAATATTGATTTTCTTTTAGTTCCTTTGAAGTTTTGCAAGTTTTTTTTTATTCTAATTCCCAAATTAATTCCCACAAAAAAGTACCTTTTTTTCTTTTTAAAAACAAAAGGGAAAAAATTATTTTTTATTTCGGATATTTTTCCTCATTATCCTCTTATGGGGGATTAATTTCATTTAAGAAGGAAAAACTTTAAATTTATCAAATTTTTAATTTCCAAGTTCCGGAACTCGTTGACGCAGTCAAAAAGAATCGTTGACGCACTCTGATCATTTGGTGAATAATGAGAATTTGTAAATAAAATTGTCATACTACCTTTATTGTCTATAAGATATTGTTTATAATCAGTTAATTTATTTTCACTTTATTTCCTTAGTTTCGTCTTCCTGTTTTTAGAAAAGGAGAAAAAGTGTAACAAACCTAATTAACAGTCAATACTAAAATTTACTCTAAAACTGAGCCAATATGCTTAGTACTTTTATAGCCCGTACCTTCATGAATGGTTTGTTAACATTGTTACGGAATTTGTAACATCTTGAAGGAGTCGTCTGCGATATGGACCTGTATATTCTTGCTCAAGATTAATTTAGATATGTCTGTCCGTCCGATCGTACCATATATGTATAGCCAAAACCAAATAAAGCAAATTTCACCAAGTTCTCACAAAATTTTTATTTTCTGCCAAGAACGGACCCTGTTGCAGTTGGAACAATTTGGACAACGGGTTCGTGCAGCTGCCATAAAACTCAAAGAGATTAATTTAAATATCTCAAAAACCAATAACGATATCAATATGAAATTTTGTAAACGTGTGTCCAATTACACTTTACATATACATATTTTGAACATTTTGATGGAATGACTGTACATTTTCAGGTACCTACTATACAACTTCAAAAGCTAATTTTGAATATTTGCAAAAATATTAAGTTGCATTCATAAGACATAGCTGTCATGTGTTCAACTATAAGTCACACATTTTCACGAAGTTTTTCACTCAACACTCAGATTGTCAAGGTTAATTATTAAGTATAATTGAGTGATAGACATCGACTGAAATATTTTTGCTTGTTTGAAATATAACCTTAACATTATAATATATTAAAAACATTTAATTCTTTTCCCAAAACTTTCTTAAAATACTCTTCTCTGATCACTTAATGCGTAAAAAATTTGATACTATTGTAAATAGAGATTTTTTAATTTACAAATCTTTCTTCTATGAAAAATCATTAATTTTTCATCTTTAATAAATTTTCGCGAAAATAATTACCATATAGGTATAAATTTATTTTTAAAATTTGAGAACCTTTTCAATATTAACGAAGGTTATATATTTATAAAATGAGTTTAAGTAATAAATATTTTAAGTTTTAATTAAAATTTAAGCAATTTGTATAAAATATTCAACTAGGTATACTAAATTAAAATCAATCTCATAATTATTTTATGAACTGGAAAATTTATTAAATATTTTTAAAGTCAACTTTAGGCGTTAAGATTAATATTAGGATGAAATAAAGGTTTATAATACAAGAAGTCATAAGATCGCGAATGGATTTTCAACGAAATGGAATTTGTTGTATTAACTTGATAGAAGATTTTAAAATACGAAACCAATTACATATAGTTGAGATTGGATAAGAACACAACTGGTAACGTTAATTTGCATGTATTTTTAATCGCTTAACTGGAAACACTCATTCAAGCATTTATCCGTCTTTCACTGTTATACAAAGGGTTTTAAAACTCAATTGTCTAATTGTGTTTAAATATAAACTTTAATTTAAAATTCAATGATCCCGTTAATATTCAACTTTAACTACTAGTTGAAAGTTCTCAACGAAGGCTAAAATTAGGCATTGCTTTTCTCATCACAGTTCTTAAATTCAAATTCAATTTGTTTTAAAGTCGATTTGTAGATTATTTAAAAAAAATTGAGAAGATGAACGACGATTTCTAAATCCTTGAGAATAGCAAAAAAAAATCACTTACGTGGCTATCAGTAACTATTAATAAAACCATCATCATTTTTAGATTGAAAGCAAAGGAAAATGGAAAAGGGCGAGGAAGTATTAATACACAACTACTTTACGGTGAGTTGATAGAAAGGTTCACATAAACTCAGAACAAGTTAAACAAAATCAATGTTATAATATATAGTCTAGTCTTAAGCACCCTCTTATAAATGTTCGTACAAAAAACAGATGTATACAAGTTAACTTCGGACAGTTTACGCGTCACTGACTCATGCATCTCATACTCCGTACTATGTAATGCGAAACATTGAAAATCTCGACCGACCTTAATTTGATGGGGTTATTTCTTTAAAGAAATTCGACTCAAGTTGATGAATGAAACCTCAAACCAATCAATAATAACGAAGTGATCACAGGTCTAAAAGCTGAATCATACTCTAAAAAGGTGGGGGGTGCGAAAACGCGTCTGCACAGCCTCATACACAAGACTTAATTGCCTTTAAATTTCAACAAATTCTATATTTTTTTCTTCTATTCTTTAATATTTAAGAACGGTTATAAGTTATCAAAACACCCTAGAATTTTTGTAATCTGATATTATGTATAAACTACTTTAAAAATAGTTTCTGTTAAATAAAAAGTGTTTGATTAAAATATTGGTTCATAAATGCCGGACCTATACTTTAAATAAAAATAAGCGGAAATTTTAATGATAGTAAAAATATATTTAAAAACTTTATTTTAGTAAAAATAAATTATATACATATTTACTTTGAAACCAACCGTGCAATCAACAAATAAATAGTTATTTATCCAATCAATCAAAATATTTATTTAAATTTTATAAAATAAGATTGTGTGGGCATTTTATTGATAAACGTCTGAGAAAGAATAAAAAACCCATTTATAAAGTGTAATTGTTGCAGGTGGTTGTTACATAGTTAATTCTATACAACAATCACGATATATAAATATCTATATGAAATGAATGTGCGTGTGTATGTTCCGCCTAGATATGAAAATTACAAAATCGCAGTTCGAGGCTGAAATTTAATATTGGAACGGTTTTTATTTTGCAAAAGAAAAATTTCGTATAAATTCTTTATATACATATATATCACAGGAAGCCGCTTACATTGTAAAACTTAGCCATATTATTATATTTTTTTGATGTCCTTGAGAAGCTCTTTCACCGGGAATTAATCTCATTGAACACAAATAAAGCCGGTGAATGAAATTCTGTGGAAATGTTCTAAGAATCGACAACTCCATTTTTGGTCTATTTTAGTTGGTAACGGGTATTGACGGAGGATATAACATGAATAGGATATCCAATAGGATATAGAATATAGGACTGATATAGGATATCCAATAAAGATGGCTTGAAAAACTGCAACTAATAAAAAAAAGTGCTCTATTAGTGGATGTTCAAGGTCATTTTTTAAAATTTTTGTATCAAATTAGAATATTTTCTAAATTCACACTAGGTTTTCTTGTTCTTAAAACACGTTAAATAAAAATTTATAAATTTTAGTTTTTGGAAATATTTCATTAATTTCATACACATATTACACAAATTCATACAAGTGTACCTTCATATTATGTTATTAAAAAAAAATTATTTGTACATTGAACTAAAAGGTCAGACACACAAAAATATTTATGTGAAATTAAGCATAAAGTGCGGTGTTAATGTAAATGATGCTTTAATAAATTTATAGGATTATTATGTTTACTTTTGTTAGAGATGTTGTATATATTTTTAAAATATAGTATTAATAATGTCTACCTACAAACATATAGGTACATACATATGTATAGTATTATGGTTTATATTGGTCACACATGTTATAATGAAGGCCATTCACATTATTGTCATTTTCAACTTGATTATAGTTATAGTTTTAATACAATTCTTATGGAAAGTAGGTAATCGATTATGTAGTTTTACACGACGAAATCTATAATAATGTACGTTTATGTGGCTATGTTAAGTTACAAACTTATGTAAACTAAACATGTGTGTACTTTACATATCAATTTATTTTAATGTTATATTTTAATATGAAACTATAACTGCCGTTTTGTGAGTAGAAATTATATTTTATGAAGATGTTTCATGAAATAACAAGGACACTGGCAAGAAAAAAATTTTAAGGAGATAATTATCATTTCAAAAGAAATTAAAATCTAATAAAACTTTGCATTATGAGAAAATTATTTTAATTAAATTCTTAATTAAATTTTCAATGTTAAATATGCACGCCAGAGTAATAACTATGTTTTTTTTTTAATTTTGTAGGTCATGATTGTTATGTACCTATTTATGTTATTATACAGAGTCATTATAAATTCACTGGAGGGTTGATTCCTGAGACCATTTTAGGAAAAAAATCGAATTAGGACGGGTGACTCCGACATCTACGGGTAGTTTCGGAGAGTTAAAACAAATTGGATTAAAATAATTTTGTCTTACGAATATCAATTCCAGCTGCGAAACTGTTGAATCTATAACAATAAGTTGTTTAGAATTTTTGTTCTCAATTGATAGACCTATATAACGATATGCCGACGGTTTGTGTCAGACTTACCGCTTCTGAATTATTGCTTCTGAATTGGTTTAAAAATCTAAAAATTTTTGAAAAAACGTTTTTGTTTTAAGTATAAATTTTTTTCAATTTTTTTTCCATTACGTGTTTTGAAAAACTTTTTTTTTGAAATCACGTAGGACGTTGAACAAGTCAGAACCGGGCCTGCATATGCACTCATATATCAAGATAGATTTTCCATTGTTGCAACCCCACTGAATTTTTTAAAATTTTAATGTGTTTTATAAAAAATAATTTTTTCTTTTAATTTTAAATTGTCTTTACTATTTTTTTTAAAGCATACATATATTTCAAGTGACCAATTTGGTTTTCTGTACGTTACAATTTTGCACCAACTGCGTAAACACCTATTGTTCTACTCGAAAATGAAAATTATTAGTTAAATTGTTAGTTAAGCAAAAAAGAAAAATTATTTTTTGAGATTGTCTTATAAATAGAAGTAGAGAAAAATTGTACCCATCAGTGTTATTCTTATTTTTAAACAGAATATTGAAAAATACAGAGTATTTGTAGAATGTATAAAATTTTTTTCATAGTTGTAATAATTTTTATAATAAACTCAGTCATGACTAGATCTAAAAACGATATTTTTGAAAACAATCAATTATTTGGTTTAAAAAATAACAATGATGTTCGCTTCTTGTTCGGTTCTAAAATACCAATAATTTTATCTTCAATTTTAACTCAAAAACTTAATATTGTTAATTCATTCACTCCAAAAACAACGGCTACTGTAGCAACCATGACAACATCAGATCCACCTCCTAGTACCAGTGAAAGTAGTGAACTAATGTATTAAGTAATATAGCTAAAGTGATATTAGAAAAATATGAGTGAAAAATACCGACACAAAGAAAACTATATGTAATAAAACGGAGTTGTTCACTAGTTTCTTAATTAGTATTAGTATATAATTACTTAATATCATTTATTTTTACGTTTTTTATCACAAATAACAAAAAAAATGAACTCACCATCCGAATTATCTTGTATGTATGAAACAGAGAACTAAATAAAGGTGTCTTTTATTTAACATCAATAGTTATAATTTTTTTTAAAATAATTAGATTTCAAATAATTAATAAGTTCTTCATTTATCGCAGTTATAAGTGTTTGTAGCTCTTGTTTCATAATTTCAAAAGTTTATTATAAATAAACTTGTTTCAAATTTCAAAAGTTTATTATAAACATTCTATCTTAAAACTTGTACGCATATTATATTTTAAAATTTAAATTTTAAACTATGTTCACATCATATATACTAAATGTGAATTATAATCAATTTAAGATAGAATAAAAAAGACCATATCCCCGGGCTAAAACAGAAAAATGTAGTTACCAATACAACGTGTAGTTGTTTATTTTTATAAGAATAGCTAATTTCTTCACACAACTGCAGAACAGATGAAAAATTTTTTTTTTTTCGAAATGGACTCAAACCAGTAACATACTTAGGCTTTCTAGGCGGACGTTCTAGCAACAGAGCTACAGATCTATGAAGAAATTACCGGTAAATTATTCTTCACATTGCTTTATACTGTAATCTACAAGTCAATTGTTTACATCTATTTAAAACACTCAATCACATTAACATATAAATAAGTATTGTACATAAAAGATTTTAGTTCGAGGAGGAAAATTAATTTTCCTGCCTTGACTTGTTCCTTTGATTACGTCTGCTCTGAAGTTGTATGAAAAATTTTCCATTTTAGTCATTCTTAAAAAAATTTCATTCTTAAAAAAATCTATTTAAGGAAAGAATCTTTTTCTGCTTTCTTTCCTTTCTAAATAAGGGCTATTGCATATGAAATTTTCTATTTTGCAATTACAGCTTGATTGTTAAATGGTTGCGCGCATATCTAAGCAACTAAACTACTGCGTCAATAATTCAAATCGATTGTGTTGCAAAAAATTACAAACTTTTTGCATAACTGCATAAATTTTTGTGCTTCTTATATAGTAAAGGAGGCTTTTAATCAAAAATTTAATTTACATTTTTTATAAATGAGTAAAAACAAAACTAAAACTAACATGAACACGCGTAATATAAGAACTTTTAAATTGATCTTAGTTCTAAAAACCTTAATTCTAAAAAGCATCTATACAAAAGAAAAGTAAACATTTTTACAAAATATTTAATATAACAATTTTTCATTAGAATTCGTAAAATTCTTAAAATATTTTATTGCGCACAACATGTGAATTCCCACAGTGGGTCAATAGAAAATTATGGCATTAATTATTATTCTACAGAATACAAATATTATGGCAATTCACGAGTGCACACACAAGCAATCATAAGCAAAAAAAGAATCGTCATATGCGTTCTTCATAAAAAAATCGTCATATGAGTTCTTCATAAATTTGTAAAAATTTTCCACAACTGCTCTGTATTATTGAATAAGTAAAATAATTTTTTGTTTTTTTCATAATTTATAAATAAAATTTACTAAATAATATATTCTTTGTAATTTTATTAATAATCTAAATAAATAAATATTTTAAGATTAAATATTTTTATATAATTAAATATTAACATGATTATTTATTTTTTTTTCTCTTTATATACGTTTATTTCATATTATACCCGCAAATTAATTAGGCAGTGCTGAAAGATGAGACAGTAACAAATAAACTTTTATTCGAAAGTTCATCAGTTCAATGACATTCAACTTCATATAAAAGGATTAATTTTAGCAGCGTTTAGGTTTTTTGCTGTTTTGTTTATGAATTGTACGTAGAGAATGATAACCTCCTTAATAATCATATTTTTTGGTTTTGTTTTAAATTCATTTAACATGATTTCAATACAGAAGAAGTATGTTGAAACACGCTTATATGTGATATGATATCAACTTAGAAAAGGATTTGTTTTCTATTCCAGCATACCCATATACATAAGACAAAATTATAAGAAAAATAAAAAAAAAAATAAATTACAAAATAACAAATAAAAATTGTAAAACAAAAGAAATAAAAATTAATAAAAAAGGAGAAAATAGAAAATAATAAAAAAAAAATAAAATAAAAATGATGCTAAACAAGAAGAAATTTTCAAGGACATCATTATGGAAAGAAAATATCCTAAACATATACTTATGAAAGGATATAGTAAATAAAAATGGAAATTTAAACGGACCTTTGCCACTATCTTCGTTTTATTTTTAGGTCATTTCCAGAAAATTTGTAAAAGCAAAAAATGTGTTTATTAGTTTAATTTTTCTCCTATCTAATTTCTTTCAACTATGGATCTATTTATACAAAGTGTGCACACCGTGAGCATTACCATAGTAGAATAGGAAAAATTCTCTCAATAATAATATGATTACAAGAGCTCAATTGAAAAACTTCCAGTCGTAAACTATATTTTATGTAGCCGAGTTTTTAAAAGTTTAAAGAACTTTTTTTTAAAGTTGAAAAAAATTTTCAAGTGAATCATAAAAGTTTAAAATTTTATTATTCAAAGACTTCAATTTGCAGTACTAAAAAAATTTGATTTCAGTGGAGGAACGCGAAGTTTTTTGTCAACTTCTTCTTTTCAATAATATTTCCCCTTTCAAAATTTTCATATTTAATACATACATGTAATTTATTTCTTCGCAAAATTTATTAAATTTTTATAATTAATGGGCTCTTCACATTACTGCGACAAGCGACACCGATAGTCGTAAAATTTCGGAAAATTCAGTATTTGTTGCTACAAAATACTCTTTTTACTTTTTAAACAACTTTTTTAGATGGTTCTGATTAAATTACTGTTACTGTCAATGTAAACTTATTTGCGAGAGATGAAAAATTAAATTGTTTTTATTTACCCTTAACTTTTATTTTGCCTCTCATTTCTTTATTTACTTCAAATTGCCTTTCCTAAAAAATAAAATGCAAAATTAGAAAATTATTTTTAGTAGCTAGTATTAAATTTTTTTTTATTTAAAGTAATAAAAGTTATTGGAAAAAATTGCAGTAAAAATTCCGATAATATAAAGAGACTCTTTAACACTAGTTCAAGGCCAATATTTTAATTTAGTGCATTATTTTATCTGCCCCCCCCCCAAAAAATATGCAACACTTCAATACAAATAATTTTGATTAAACATGGTTCAGTTTTTCTAACTGAACGACATCGAAACTAAACTATGAAATATATAATTTTATTCAAAATTTTAATTAAATTGCTGAATGGACCTATTCAAATAAAATTTAAAATACACAGTAATTATTTAAAAAAAAAGGGATTCTTTACGCAGTAATTACTTAAGGAAAATGTGATTCTTTCAAATACTGTCAATTTAATTAAATTTCATTTTCTTAACAATGTTTTCTTTTAATAACAATCAAACACATATTATATAGAAAAAGAATTGGAAAAATTCTGTGTTATACCATCGTGATATTTATATATGTAGGTATATAACATAACATATACGTATTTCAAGATTCATAAATTCATATGTGCAAATGTATGTATATATTACGTGCAAATGTACGTATACGAGTATATTGGCATTTCTCAACTGTATAACAATTACAATTTTTAATATAAACTTAAAAATGTACAAATAAAATACAAATTGTTTCACAGTTATATTTAGGTTGAAATTTTGTTATACAACATACATATATTACACACACCTACATTTTACATACTAATTTATTTTTATACGCATAACAACAATAATAGTAATAAACACACTGATTCACAAAGAAAGAAATTACATATATACAAGTATACAAGTATATAACAAATCCTACAGCAATTAATTCACATTTAATAGAATTCAAAGATCATTATTGAAATAAAAAGAAAAATTTATTGTATAGCATCAACAACAACAAGAAAAACAATAATAACAAAACAAAAAATATTAAGGAAAAAATAAAAAAATATTTAGAAAATTTTATATACAATAATAATAATAAAATAATAATTATTGTTATAATTATAAATGAATCTCAATTAATTCAATTCAATTAATAAAAAAATAGAAAATTAGATAGAAATTAATATAAGAAAATTGTAAATTGGGTAACAATTATAAAAAATATAGTGAAAATAATAAGAATAATAATAAGTAAGAGAAAATAAATTGTTAAAAATCATGTTTTTAATCTTTTTCATATATGGTTTTCATTTTGATCTTTAATATAACTGTTAATATAATATTGTATAACTGCGTATATATTTGTATAAATGTATATTATGTTGTATAAATTACATAGATAATTTTAAATATAATGTTAAATTAAAATAAATTATATATTTTTATTAAGTACAATGTTAATTATTTATATTGTATGAAAATTATACATAATTATTATTAAAAAGAAAACAAGTAAAAAAAAAAATAAAATAAATTTGTATATGTTTAAGTGAAAAAAGAAAATTTTGAAGAAAAAGAAAAAATCTATTTTGAAAAAAAAAAGATGAAAATGCATTTTTTTTCTTGAATTTTTGTTCTTTATTTTGGTATAGCTAGTTCTACATTATTTTGTAATTGATGTTCAAAAGAATCCTTTATTAACAAGGGTATAATTATTTTATTCAAGTTTATAATTATTTTATAATAATTACAAATTTGAATTTAAAAAATTATAGACTGTAGCAAAGGGAGGGCGGACCGACACTAAAATGAAAGAGATTTTATAATTTACAGTCAACATTTTGTGAAAGTTTTTAAAAGTCTAGTCTATGAACTTGATATTTTTATTATTATGATTAATTTTTATTATTCATTTTTAATGAATTAGTTATGAAAATTATTTCAAATTGAAATTATATGATATAACGATGCATGAAGGTTTTTTGTCATTGAATTTGTAAATATATATTTTGAATCCTGATCAGTGTTGGGATATTTGGTCAAGAAAATTGTGCTAAATTTAGGCAAAATGCGATACAAATTCAAAAACAAATTGAATTTTGACAAATTTAAAAAACTTGATAGTTTAAACGAGTTTAATTAAAAAAACAAACAATTGCTATTATATTTAACTTACAACCTTTAGATATGTAAATAAATTAAACCATCTTTTTATAGCCTTAATATTCAAAATGAAAAGAAATGAAAATTTAAAAAAAAATTGAATCAGTGTTAATTGTTAAATAAAATAGATGTGATGCATAATATCACACAATAAAAGCTGTCTATAAAAATGAAATCTTTAGACCTATTTTTTTTTTCAAAAGAATTTTCAATTCTTCCCAATTTTTGGAATTTTCAATTCCAAAAATGCATAATTGGCATAATTTTTTTTAAAAACTCAATGCAAAATTATAAAATTCATTATATCAAATTCGGGTTTAAAAATTCTAATATTCCAACACTGATCGAAATAAGAAAATTTCGAGTATTTGATATAAATTAAGATCAAGAGAAAACGAGAAAAAAAATAGAGTTGACCTTGTCAACTCTGTGATACCCGTACGAATTTGTTATCCTATGTGCAAATAAAGATGCCATAACTGACTAAGGGACACATTAATTTATGCAAAATTTCAATACTGTCTGTTTTTCAAAATACTGTGTGTGCCAAACTACTATTTAAGTTGCATGGCAGCTACCAGAAAAAGCTAAGAAATTTTAACAAATTTTATCAAAAACATTGGCCCTAGTAATATATTCGCTTGTGTGAAATTTCAATACTATAGCTTTTATAGTTTCTGAGATATAGCCAAATAACTTTTGAAGTTGTATGGCAGGTACCAGAAGGAGCCAAGTAATTTCAACGACTTTTATCATACACATTGCCCTACTAGTGTATTCGTTTGTGTGAAATTTCAATACCATAGCTTATATACACTGAGCGAAAAAATGCATTTTAGAATTAATTACGAACGTATTTGAAATAAAAATGTGGCATTATAAAACATTTTTTAAAACTTTTCACGAAACATTTTTAAATCAAAAATGAACATTTTCATAATAAAGTTGAAATATTTTAATTTCAAAGTAGCATTTTCAAATCGAAAATGCAAACTTTGAAATAAAAATGTCATTTTTGATTTTAGATTGTTCCAATTTTAAATTAAAAATGAACCTATTTGAATCTAAATTTTTTATATTTTGTATACTTTCAAAATAAGAAACAATTCGTTCATTTTCAATATAAAGTCGAACGTTTTGATAGTAAGTTGAACGTTTTTGAATTTAAATTGAGCATTTTTAGATTAAAATGAAACATTTTGAAATTATATTGTTTTGAAATATATTGTCATTTTTTTCATTTCCAATTGAGACTTTGTAAAGAGTTGAGGTGTTTAGTTATTAAGGTGCATATAAAATTACAAAATTAATTAAAAATTGAAAAATTAACTATTTAAAAAAAAATTAATTGTGGCAGAAGTGATATTAAAACTGCAAAAACTATTGAACGTAAAAAAATTAGCAATTTTCAAGTTGGAGATGTGAGTTATAAAGCTGACGGAGAAATGCTGCAGATTATCACCAAGGAGTACTCTCACCAAGGATAGAAGCAATAATAAAGAAGCTTCAAAAGATCTAGAAATAGGAATGACCAACGAAAATGATAGATGATGACAATTTAATGAAGCTGCTGCACGAATTTGAAATGCCTCATATTTTTTCCAGTCTTAGAGGTACATGTACATTCGTAAACATGTGTTTTGGTTAAAGTTTTTGCAAATATCAAAACAATGTTTTTTACTACAATTCTTTAGAGGTTGATATAACTTTCAGAAGCCTTACACATATACGTTAAGTAAAGATGAAATGGTGGAGAAAATTCTGACGGGCTTCGAGCAAAATTTAGGGAAAAACCATTTATGTGGCTATCCCTTACAAAATTTTAAGGTAAGTAAAAATATTTTCTAAAGAAAAAAATTCAATATGATTATTATTTATTTTATTAAATTTTTCTTAATAACTTTTTTAAGAAATATCAACTCTCTATAAAAGAAACGTCTATGAGCAAATCTTTAATTGAAATATATGAATAGAATAATTCATTAAGTAA